ATGCAATAAATAACATCTAAGGAGTGACCTGGCGAGGTCATCACGAACGTTTTCCAAGACCACTGACTCGTCAAGACCCCTGGCTCCAGGGCACAAGTGACTTACAGAGGATACCCAAACACTCCTCTTTGTTCCTGAATTACTGAGGAGACAGGTGCATGGGATCACCATCCTCAACAAAAACCCCAGACCCCAAGCAAAGACAAGACTCACTCTCCTATCTTTCAGAGTCTCCCTGACACTCTATGCCTACACTTTCTCCATATCTTTAATAAACTGCTCCCACTTCTTCTTGGCTTATGTAGATTTCTATCCTGCCAGAAGCCAAGGACCTTCTTGGATGGTTGAGCAGGACCCGTTCTGCATCCTCAGATAAGCCAGCCTGTGTCACAGGGATGGGGTCTTGTAGGGTCACTTAAGCACCTTGTGAGCAGCCTGCAAAATGCTGTGAGGGGATATGAACATGTAGAAGATAAGATGAACACACCCGGCTGGAGAGGCAGTGGAAGACAAGGGCCCCTGGAGTCAGATTCTGGGTCTGGGATTCTCAGAACTCTGAGCAGGATGCCTGTCCTCTGACTTAGTGTAGGATCCCTTCCACCTCTCCCTCCTGCCTCAGGGCAAGCTCGCCACCCAGGAGGGGCATTTCCAGTGCTGGGACACATGGCCCTTGAACAAGCTGTCGTGTGCCTTCTTACCTTGCTCTCTGTGGTTCTCTCTGTCCACGAGGACACCCTGCCCTCTTCAATCAAGGATTTGACACCCTGTCTTCTCTCCTTTTAGGTCAGGCGGCTCCAGGTCTTATAAATCATTCCTGGTGCTCCCTGCCATGTCCAGCCTTTCCCGCCCTTCCAGAACCACTTGGATGGTGTCCCTGTGGGTTCCAAGCCCCACCTGCTCAATCCCAGTTGCCTCGAGGGCCTTTGTCTGAATACCTGCCCACGCGTCTAGGTCTGAACTTCCTAAAAGCCACCTTTGGGCCCTGTCCCAGCCTTGGCTCTATCTCCAGGTTATCTGCCTCTTGATTTTTTTTTTAAGTTTATTTATTTATTTTGAGAGAGAGAGAGAGTGAGAGCATGTGCTCATGAGTGGGGGAGGGGCAGAGAGAGAGGGAGAGAGAGAATCCCAAGCTGGCTTCTCACTGTCAGTGCAGAGCCTGACATGGGGCTCGAACCCACAAACCTTGAGATCATGACCTGAGCCTAAATCAAGACTTGGATACTCAACATACTAAGCCACCACCCAGGCACCCCTATCTGCCTCTCGATTCTGAGGATGGGCTGGTTCTTGCAAGTTGGGGACCATCTCCTGCCCCACTTGGACTTTCTCAGCTGTTCTCAGGTGGCCCTCTCCTGGAGGGTCAATGGTCAAAGTACAATGTAGGTATTTCCTGGTCAGGACTCCTCCCGGAGATAATGCCTGTGACAGGAGGGGTGCCAACGAGGACTGAAGAAGGATAGCCACAACATCCTGCCACGAGTTGTTTACAGCCCACGAGAAGCCATGAAGAAAAAAAAAAAACACAGCTATTGAAGCATTCATTGAAGGAAATAGAGGTGGGGCAAACTGTAGAACTGAACAAGGCCTGGGAGAATGAGGCCATGGCTGTGACTGCCACGTGAGGGGAAAGTTCTTATACTGTAAGTGTTGGCTGGAGGCTTCCTGCCAGTCTTAGGACTCTGCCTTTGAAATGAATTGATCAGTGATGGGGACTGCCTCCTGAGGATGCAATACCACCAACCTGCCATTGCTTCTCAAAAGAGGGTCAGCAAGGATCCCAAGAGTCTAGGACTCCAAAGGGGGTTGCAACTGTGAAGCCTGGGTATGTGTGGGGGGGTGGGGGGGTGTCTCAGGGAAAGACTAGCCATCTAATTTGGAATAACTGAGTTTTGTCCCAGTGCTGTCCTAGAGGCCCAGGACATGGAGGGCTGTGCAGATGATAAGAGAGCATAAGGCAAGCTGAGGGCAAAGTACAAGCTAACAACACCCTCCCCATCCCCCCCCCCCCAGGTGAAATAAGGGTGACATTCCTTTGGCACTCCTGGCTGCCCAAGAACAAAGAAAAGGATAACAAAACAAATGGTTGAACTGATAGAGATCACAGGACATGAGTCTCTATCACTTTACAAATATCTTAGTAAATTACAAGGAAAAAGCAAGCTTATCAATAGCCTAATCTCCAGAAACCTATAGCCCCAACATCATCCTCCCCTCCATAGTGATGTGGGGAACAAAGGCAAGAAGGAAATGGAAGGTAAAATTAAATTTCCTTATAACCTGCAGCCCATTGACAAATAACTTGAGGCAAATACAGAGTATAACATTTCTCCAGGAACTCTTAATGTTAATGTTTTGCTAGAGGGAAAAACAGCCTTAGCTTGACAATATCTAGGCCTCCAGTAATCTGTGAGTCTTCCTTAGCATGTGGAAATCCCTTTAAGAAACTTCCTCTTGATTTTATCTCCTCCAACTCCATAGTATATAACTAGTCACTCTTCATAACCCCAGTGCAGCTCTTTCTGCCCAGGGGTCCTGTCCCTGCGCTTTAATAAAACCACCTCTTTGCACCAAAGACCTCTTGAGAATTCTTTCTTGGCCATCAGCTCCAGACCCCCACCACTCCTGAACAACCACACCATTTGGCAACCAATGTGGGGCTTTGAGTCTTTTCATCAGGACTCAGCTTTGGCGCAAACTTGGTGAGTACTTTCTCTTTTCTTCCTTTACTTTCATTTCAGGGGCTTTTTAAGGAGTATGGTCTTATTGGAACACTTTCCATCGCTCAGGCTGCAATCCTCTGGTCCATCGCTACTCTACTTGAAGGAGAAAGCCTGCCTTTTGGCTGGAAGTTAGGGATGTGGAAAACAAAAGCAGAAGGAAATGGTAGATAAAATTACATTTCCTTATAACCTGCAGGTGACAGATAAGTAACTTGAGGCTGGCAGAGTAAAACATTTCTGCCTTAACGTTAATGCTTTGCTACAGGGAAAAACAACCTTAACTTGGCAATAGCTAGACATCCAGTAGTCTGTGAGTCTTCTTTAGCATATGAAAATCCCTTTGGAAACTTCCCCTTGACTTTACCTCCCCCAACTCCATAGTATATAACCAGTCTCTCCTCCTAGTCCCGGGTCAGCTCTTTCTGCCCAGGGGTCCTATCCCGGTGCTTTAATAAAATCATCTTTTTGCACCTAAGACATCTCAAGAATTCTTTCTTGGCCATCGGCTCCAAACCCCCACCACTCCAAAGTCCCATCAGTTAGTACCCTGGCCAGAATAGCAATAAGACCCAGAAACTTGATGCCCTCTCTTTATTTCCGCCCTTATAAAAGTTGTCTTGGGCACGGGACACCTAAGTCACCAGGATGCCTGCCAATCTTAAGACTCGTGTAAGGTTTCCTCCTCCTTGGTCTAATGTGTTCCCCTTCACATTTCTTGTCTAGCTGCTTCTGGCAGCGGAATCTCCACTGAGAGCCAGCCAAAACGATTACACAATTGAATTAAAACTCAACTAGAACCATTTCCTATCAAGTTGGCCGTAAGGACTACATTCTAAGCAATGTCGCTTAGATCACGGTGGATTTCTATCTTTACTTTTCTTGGTTAATGTTCTCTGATGAAGTTTTAGGGTGATGAGGGATCACGTGGGGTCCAGAGCCATTGACCAAGAAAGAATTCTTGAAGATGTCTCTAGTGCATAAAGGTGATTCTATTAAAGCATGGGGTCAGGACCCATTGGCAGGAGGAGCTGCACTGGGGTTGTGATGGGTATCTCGTTATATACCCTCAGGTTGGGAGGGGGTCAGAGATAGAGTAAGTCTCTAAGGAATTTTGGAAGCAAGGTTTCTAGGACCCTGAGGGGCTACGTGTTGCTAGGGAAACACCATTTATCAACGTTTAATAAAACCTCAGTCATGAGCCCCTTCAGATGCATATCGAGGGGCCATAAGCTTGGAGTATAATTGCCAGCATAAATCTTGGGGCAGTTAAGATAAAGGAAGTAGAGGGGCGCCTGGGTGGCGCAGTCGGTTGGGCGTCCGACTTCAGCCAGGTCACGATCTCGCGGTCCGGGAGTTCGAGCCCCGCGTCAGGCTCTGGGCTGATGGCTCAGAGCCTGGAGCCTGTTTCCGATTCTGTGTCTCCCTCTCTCTGCCCCTCCCCCGTTCATGCTCTGTCTCTCTCTTTCCCAAAAATAAATAAACGTTGAAAAAAAAAATTAAAAAAAAAAAAAGATAAAGGAAGTAGACTCACAGGATCCTTACAGTGAGGATCCTTAACATTGGACAACGTTAAGCTAAGGTTCTCTTTTGCCTCCAGCAAAGTGTCATCATCTAGGCAGCTGAGCTCCTGGAGGGAGGTCACCCTGCCGGTTTCAAGGACTTGTCAATGGGCTGTAGGCAGTAAAGGAATTTAGTTTTTCATTTGCCTTAGTTTCCCACATTACCATGGCAAGCACTTGAACCCCTTTCCTTTGTTCTTGGGTACCTGGGAGTGTCTGAGGAATCACACAGATCCCACCCGGGGTGTAGGGGTGAGCGCTAGCTTGTGCTTTGCTCCTCAGCCTGCCTCATGCTCCCTCATCATCCTCTACTAACTACTTAAATTACAAAATTGGGTAATTTCACCTTGAAAAACTTTTCTAGTGCTTTCCATGGGTTAAAAACAGCAGGTTCTTCAAAAAACTAAGCATGGCCTCCACAGAATGCTCTTCAAAGACTAGGTAAGCCAAGGCATGACCATCAGGGCATGTTCTTTAAGGCACAGACTTTTATGGCACAACTTTCAAGGTACGGTATTTCGGTTCATATGCCAGGCACCCATTTAGCCTAGGATGCAATGGGGAAGTGGAGGGATGCCGGTGTCCCTTCCTCGAGGGCCTTTTACAGGACAGGACCTTCCCTGGGGCAGGACTGTCTTCAGTGGTAAGGTAGTATGGTGATCCATATTGATTTTCGTTCAAGGGATGCCTTGGGTCACTTTTGACACCAGGAACCTCTGACATATCCTGCACGGAATGCCACCCAGGAGTCAAAGGGGGTGATTTTTGGTAATGGACCCTAGGAAACACTGGGGCTTCTTCTTCAGTCCCCAAGGGCTCTCTCTTGGGATGCCTTTTAACCCACTGGAAACAATTCAGATTGCAAAATTTAGGAAAGAACTGATCTCCTGTAACACTGCATGGCATTAGTAGGATCTGACAGTCAGATCTCTTCTGCACAAAACAGGGCAAATGGTCAGAGATACCTGAAGTCCAGGTCTTCAGGGCTCTAAATCAGCACCTGGACCTAAGGGCTTCTTGCAGAATGTGTTTGCCCAAATGTATTTGGCTAGTAAACTCCCTCCTGACATATTGGATGATAATTATCTAACTAGGCCTCCTCCTGATAGAACTCAGGTTGCTGAGGAAACCCAGGCCATCCCTGACCATGGGGACACTGACTTTCTCTCTCTGTTCCTCCTAATAGATGTGAGGGCTTCTCCCTCATTCATTTCCTGGGTTAATGGCTATGACAACTGGAGCCAACTGCGGTTAGTCTAACTCAGGACAGGGACGTTAAGGAATATTCCCGAGCAGCTGCCAAAACTCCCTTTGTTTCAGGGAAATTCCCTGTCTTCTCTGGCCTGACATGGACTTCATATTTCTGCTTTGGTGGAAAAAAAGAAAGAAAAAATAAGTAAACATGCCATCAACTCCCCTGTCTGAGCTGACAAGGTTTAGAACTGGAAATCCTCTTTCTTGGCCTTCTGCTAGCACCTTGCCTCTTCTACCTTCCCCTCCCCCTCCTCCTATTTCTGCACCACCTTGGGTGCAGCCTGCATAACTGGTTCCTACAGCATCTTCAGTGCCTCAGAACCATTGGCTCCTCCTCTTCCCACCCTCAATATCAAGGAGCAGAGAGCAACCTCCTTGGAGCGCCCACTTCAGATTTCCCTTCCTGTGTCCCAGGTAAACACTGACCATGGGGAATAATTGATTAACTTTTAAGTGGATGCAGGTGGGACATATTCGGTGTTTGAACTAATTTAAGTTTGTTGGCTTAATTAAGACAGACATGTCTTTAGAGTTATCAGCATTAAATATGAAACATATTTTCTCTAGATTTGCTGAAGGTCAAAGAAGCTCATGTTATCTCTGTTGCCATTTGTTAGCAAAAAAGATAACTTCAAGCAATGGTTAATTTTGTCTGCCTCAAAGTTTTCATGGGTAATTGTTAAGATAGCTTTCAAAGTCTTTGGTAACCTGAAGCTTTAAAGCTTTGCTTGCATGATATATGGGATTTAATTCACTGGACATCTACATCCTTTTGAAATAGAATGGAGTGCTAAAGCATTGATTACTAAACATAGGTTTGTGATTTTAACTTCTTGTTGCAGAGAAACTAAGGCTATTTGGATCTGTTGGTAAACATGCTTAGTACTTGATTCATTCATAAATTTGCCATCAAAAGTTTACCATTGGTAACTACTTAGTTTTCACCAGAGACTAAGGTTTCTAAGAGTTAAAATTTTGCTAAATGTAGTTAAGACTGATGAAAAGAAGAGAAGCATTCTATGTAAAAAAAAGTTGGAGATGTGTAAGAAAGTTATAAAGAATGGAAATGATGAAGTTTTGGGGCGATGGTGGGGTGGTCCGGAGCCAATGACCAAGAAAGAATTCTTGAAGATGTCTGGTGCATAAAGGTGATTTTATTAAAGCACAGGGACAGAGGGGCGCCTGGGTGACTCAGTCAGTTGGGCGTCTGACTTCGGCTCAGGTCATGATCTCACAGCTTGTGAGTTCAAGCCCCGCATTGGGCTGTGTGCTGACAGCTAGGAGCCTGGAGCCTGCTTCGAATTGTGTCTCCCTCTCTCTCTCTCTGCCCCTCCCCGGCTCACACTGTCTCTCTCTCAAAAAATAAATAAGCATTAAAAAAATTTTTTTTATTAAAGCACGGGGACAGGACCCATGGGCAGGAAGAGCTGCACTGGGCTCCTGACAGGTAACTCATCACATACCCTCAGGTTGGGAGGGGGTCAGGGATAGAGTAAGTCTCTAAGGAATTTTGGAAGCAAGGTTTCTAGGACCCTGAGGGGCTAGCTGTTGCTAGGTTAATAAAACCTCAGTCATGAGATCCTTCAGATGGACATCAGGCCCATAAGCTTGGAGCATGATTGCCAGCACAGATCTTGGGGCAGTTGAGATAAAGGAAGTAGATTTACAGGATCCTCCAGGTTGGACAATGTTAAGCTAAGGTTCTGTTTTGCCCCCAGCAAAGTGTCATCATCGAAGCAGCTGAGCTCCTAGAGGGAGGTCACTCTGCTGGTTTCAAGGATTTGTCAGTGGGTTTTGGGCAGTAAGGGAATTTAGTTTTTCATTTGCCCTAGTTTCCAACATTACTATGGCAAGCACTTAAACCCCTTTCCTTTGTTCTTGGGTACCAGGGAGCATCCGAGGACTATCACACTTATTCTACCTTGGGGAGTGGGGGGTGGTGCCAGCCTGTATTTTGCCCTCATCTTGCCCCATGCTTCCCCATCAGAAATACATTTTTGTTGAAGGTAAAAGAAAGTAACTTTGTCCTAAATGAGATTGGTCGTTTGGAGACAAATGGCTTGGGAGAACATCGAAATGCAAAGGAAAGTTGTAGAAGGTTCGTGATGGAAAAATCTTAAAAAGGAATTGTATTTGTGGTCTCAGGAAGGACTAAGGTTAAAATGAGTGGATTTTTAAAGTTACACTGGTATAAGATTGACATTCTGTTTTTCTCTCTGTTAAAAAAAAGTTTTCTTGGATTGTTGATCTGCTCTTGATAAAAAAAAAAATATATGCAAAGGTTTTTTTTTTTCCTCTTTTGACAGCCAAGAAAACCATAGCTTATGCTTTGTCTTTATCAACTCTTTAATCACTTAAAGTTAAAACTTCTCGGGGCGCCTGGGTGGCTCAGTCGGTTAAGCGGCCGACTTTGGCTCAGGTCATGATCTCGCGGTCCGTGAGTTCGAGCCCCGCGTCGGGCTCTGTGCTGACCGCTCAGAGCCTGGAGCCTGTTTCAGATTCTGTGTCTCCCTCTCTCTCTGCCCCTCCCCCATTCATGCTCTGTCTCTCTCTGTCTCAAAAATAAATAAACGTTAAAAAAAAAAAAATAACTTCTCAATGTTGGGGCGCCTGGGTGGCTCAGTCGGTTAAGCGTCCAACTTTGGCTCAGGTCATGATTTCGCGGTTTGTGGGTTCAAGCCCCGTGTTGGACTCTGCTGACAGCTCAGAGCCTTGAGCCTGCTTCAGATTCTGTGTCTCCCTCTCTCTCTCTGCCCTCCCCTCTGTCTGTCTCCCAAAAATAAATAAACGTTAAAAAAATATTTTAATAATCCCTCAGTGTTAAAGGAGCTAAGTTTTGCTAACAGTTATATCACCCTACATATTTGCCTTTGGAATCTTTTATTGACACCTTTGTTAAACAAATAATTAAGATTTTTAATGATCTGTAACCCTGTTTAGGATGTGCTTTATAACTTTCTAAGGTTTTAACAAACTTCCCAAGATTTAAATTGTAAATGAAGTCTCTGAGTCCTTTTTATCTGGTAGGTTAAGTTACTCCGGAAGCATTGTCAAACAAATAATGGTAAACCTTAGGTTGTATTGCTTGGGCAAATCCTCTAGCTGTACATATATATAAATGCAATTCCTAAAGTTTTAATGTGTTTTGGTAATAAGGTCGTCACTTGATATTCTGTGTATCAAAGTGTTATGTGTCACAGAAATAACTGCATTTGCTGGTCAATTGCATCGTCATGAACTCTCACCAGATCTTTCACCATGCTCATTTTTTGAGTCTTTTTGTCTTTTATATTTTTGTGACTCTTGCTTAAAATACTGCTGGTTGTCGGGGCGCCTGGGTGGCTCAGTCGGTTAAGTGCCCGGCTTCAGCTCAGGTCATGATCCCACGGTTTGTGAGTTCCAGCCCTGCGGGCTCTGTGCTGACAGCTCAGAGCCTGGAGCCTGCTTCGGATTCTGTGTCTCCCCCTCTCTCCCTGCCCCTCCTCCGCTCATACTCTGTCTGTCTCTCAAAAGTAATTAAACATTTAAAAAAAATTTTTTTTTAAGTAAAATAAAACACTGCTGGTTCTCTAATGTTTGCTCTTCCCAGATTAAGGAAACTAAGATACCCGTGATATACAATAAGAGGGTCAAGTATCTCTCTGTAAACAAACTAAAGTGTTTAACTTTTCTCTCTGCCTGAACCCTCTGAAATTCACAACCTCTCAACGAGTTTTCCCTTGGCAATCACACTTATTTGCATAAATTCAAGAAGAATCTGTTCTCCTTGTAACAGGACACCATTGAAAATACTGGTCACTTCACCAAGGCTTTGACTGGAATGTCCTATTGGAGAGTGACATTCATAGACTCAGATATGACCAGACAGCTCTAAGGAACTAAGGTTGACTTTATGAAACATGGAGCCATTAAGCCCTTGGAAATGGTGGGCTGATACCTTACAGGGTTCCCAGCAGCCTTACCAGGTGAATAAAGAATGTCACTTCCTGGCAGGTGCAGGAATCTCAGGACACTTTAGGGACCTCGTGAAGAGGAATTTGCCAAACTCTACAGGCATTGCAGGCATGAGTGGCAAGTACTTGCCTTGGCTCCTGGCCTGGAGAGGGTACTATTCAATCTAGAGATTCCTTATAAAAAGTTCCGGCAAAGCAAATTTTAAGATCTATAGGACCGACCAATTGCTGTTCTTGCTGAGCTTATGTAAAGAATTAGGTCGGGGCGCCTGGGTGGCTCAGTCGGTTAAGCGTCCGACTTCGGCTCAGGTTATGATCTCACGGTTCATGAGTTTGAGCCCCGCGTTGGGCTCTGTGCTGACAGCTCAGAGCCTGGAGCCTGTTTCAGATTCTGTGTCTCCCTCTCTCTGACCCTCCCCCATTCATGCTCTGTCTCTCTCTGTTTCAAAAATAAATAAACATTAAAAAATACGGGGCGCTTGGGTGGCTCAGTCGGTTAAGCGTCCGCCTTTGGCTCAGGTCATGATCTCGCGGTCCCTGAGTTCAAGCCCCACATCGGGCTCTCTGCTGACAGCTCAGAGCCTGGAGCCTGTTTCAGATTCTGTGTCTCCCTCTCTCTGACCCTCCCCTGTTCATGCTCTGTCTCTCTCTGTCTCAAAAATAAATAAATAAACGTTAAAAAAAATTAAAAAAAATTAATTAAAAAAAAAAAGAATTAGGCCGAGTTTGTTAAAATTAGATTTGTTTCACAAACAAACTCGTCTTGATTTGGCTATCTCTGGAAATGAGGGTTACTAGAGAGACAAACTGTGTGTCAGTAACACACCTTTATGGATATTAAATTCAGTTCTGAATGTCTTTAAATGTTTGTTGTTTGCCTAAGGTAGACAACGTGAGGTAAACCTCAGAAAAACTGTCACAATAGCCCGGGTATGGACAATCTCCTTGCTTGTTATTCTGTGGGGATACTAACAGGACCCCAGGGGCATATGATTATTTAAACAACTGGGAAAATGGGATGGATCCCCCAACAACTGTATATAAGTCTTTTCTCACTGCAGACCTATCAATAGATAAAGACTGTGTTGCTTTATTAAATTATTCACTTGAGCCTGGGTTAATTCATAAATCTCTAAATATACAAACCATATCCGCCCTAAACCTGATCTGCCAGTTACTAGGAACCCACCCCATATAAACCCAGGAGACCTGGTTTATTTAAAAAATTGAAAATCTAGGGGCACCTGGGTGCCTCAGTCGGTTAAGCGTCTGGCTTCGGCTCAGGTCATGATCTCACAGTTTGTGAGTTCGAGCCCCGCATCAGGCTCTGTGCTGATGGCTCAGAGCCTGGAGCTTGCTTTGGATTCTGTGTCTCCCTCTCTCTCTGCCCCTCCCCCGCTTGCGCTCTGTCTCTCTCTCTCTCTCTCTCTCTCTCAAAAATAGATAAACATTAAAAAAAATTAAAAAAAAAAAAAGATTGGAAGTCTAACACAGAAGGGGATTTAACCCCAGAGTGGAAGGGCCCCTACCGGGTCATATTATGTACTCCCACTGCAGTAGTACAGGGGCTCTCTTCATGGGCTTGTATATCTAGAATAAAGCCTTCTTTATTACTCCTTCACAGGAAACCAGTGAGCAAACAAATGTGCCTTCTTATTCGTTTATAGGAATAAAGTTTATAGCTATGGAAGATCCCAAACTTCTCTTCAAACAAAATTGATGGTTGCACCTATCTTTTTCATTCTCCTTTCCTCAATTTATATTAACAGATGATCCTTTCTCCTCCAGGAGGTTCAGGCATGTTGTCCACATTGGATTCAGCTGCCTCCGCCTTCGTAACTTCTCTACACCTTCCCCGACTGACCAATATTGACCCATAGGTAGGGACAACTCTACACCCCTACCCAGCAGGAAGAAGCTACGGAAGATGAGACCTTCCACCTTCAGCAACTGTAAAGACTTAAGGGTCAAAATTATGCAGGGGGGATATGATGAGGGAGCATAAGGCAGGCTGAGGGCAAAGCACCCCCACCCCAGGTGGGACAGGGGTGATATTCCTCAGGTAGTCCTGGCTGCCCCAGAACAAAGGAAAGGACAGAAAACAAATGGTTGAACTGATAGCGATCACAGGAACTGAGTCTCCATCAGTTTACAAATAGCTTAGTAAATGACAAGAAAAAGGCAATCTTATCAATAGCTTAATCTCCAGAAGCCTATAGCCTCAACACCACCCTCCCCTCTGTAGTGATGTGCGGAACAAAGGCAAGAAGGAAATGGCAGGTAAAATTGAATTTGCTTATAATCTGCTGCCCGCGGGACCTATCCCCGGGCTTTAATAAAACCACCTTTTTCCACCAAAGACGTCTCAATAATTCTCTCTTGGCCGTCGGCTCCAGATCCCCACCACTCCAAACACCACATCACAGAGAGCACAGACGGGCCTCGAATATGAATCTGGGTTCTCTCTTAGTTACTCACAAGCTGTATGACCCTGGGTGAGTGACTTCACTGCCCTGAGCCCAAATCACAGCTTGGTCTGGAGAGCTGTGGAGAGGGTAAATTGGGATGTAGATTATACACATACAGAATGTCTTCCCTCTGCAGGAGTCCCAGGTCTGCTCCCTCGGTGACTCCTCCATAGCCCCAGGCCACAGGAGAGGCCACCTGCCGGTTGAGACTGAATTCTGGTATTGTCCTGAGTATCTGAAACCTTTTGTCTATCCCTGTGCCTCCAGACTGCTCCTCACCTTGCCCTAAGCAGGTGGCGGGTTGGCTGAGTGGGAGTGGAGAAGCCATAACCTGAATAGGGCTGTAGGGGAGGCCAGTCTGTCCTGTCTTACTGTACCTTCCCACCAGCTCGGCCCCAGCAATCCTGCAACCTGATTCTGTCCAAAGCCCTCTGCTGTCCCTGCAGAGGGCACCGAGGGTCTCTCTCACACAGACCTCACTGGCTCCAGGAGTATCTCGTGGGCGAACAGCCCAGGCCATGCTGTTTTACACCTTGCAAGTGGGGTCATCAGCTCTCCATCCTGCCCCCACAAACCCATATTCCAACCACAGAGAAGCTTGTGTTCTCTAAACTCCACCACGGTTCTGCATCTTTGCCCGGGCTGTGTTTCCATCCTGAAATACTCTCCCTGCCTTCTTATCCAGGCACACATCAATCATCAACAGAACCACGGAAATATGGATCGAGCGTCTCCTGTGTGCCCTCTGGGGTGGGGAAGGGTGAGAGCACAGAGAGCCTGAGGCTCTAGGTAGACAGACAACCAGCAAGTCCTTCCGACCCACAACCTGCACCCTCCTACACAAACACCTATACACACACACACCCCCCCCCCCTCCAGGTCTTAGCATGCTCTTCTCTCTGCTAGTGATCGTCCCTTCAGCACCTGGTGACCACATTAGACGCGACTTGCCGGGTTTAGCTCACATGTCACTTTCTCCGGCAGCCCTTGTCCCAAGCTCCTCATTCTCTCCTGTCACCTGGTGCCACTGGGTTTGGACTTCCCCACAGGGCACTCAGAAAGCGTGTTAGAATTCTGGCTGGCTCTGTGTCCTGGGGCCTCAGTTGTCCCGCCCGTCAAGTGGAATAGTTACGTCAACCATAGTGTTTGTACAGAGCAAATGAAATAGTACACTGACCAGCTTGTACTGAATGTGAAACGAACACTATTACCAGCAGCATCCTAATTTCTGCATCCTTAGCACTGAACACAGGACTGACTATATAATTTGGGGCCAAATGCTTGTTTGGTGAGTGGATGGATGGATGGATGGATGGATGGAAGGATGGATGGATGGTGTATAAATGGGGAGATCTTTGCCGGTCTTCTACGGCAGTTTGGGGTGGGGGTGAGGAACCAGGAAGGACTTTAAAAAACTAATCTTTATGATCCACATACCACAGATTGTCTAAGATGAGCCTCACAATGGGAAGATATGACAGCAGAACAAGGAAGTGGTTGTTCAGAGAGGTTAAGTCAGTGAAGCAGCGTCACACAGCAAACAAGCATCAGGACTGGCAGTTTCCTTGATACCTGGAAGGAGGAGGGCTTGCTTCAGATTGGCTGTCCTCAATCTCAGACTGGAAACTCCTGAAGGGCAGGGCCTCTGTGGGGGCAGGGCTGCCCCTGGGGCAGTATAAACTGCTCTGCGGAGATATAGAGTAAAAGGAGAGAGGGGAGGCTGGGCTGGGGAGGGGGCTGTGGGTCTTGCCCCGCAGAGGCGAGGCGAGCTGTGGGGCTTCCCAGACACCCTTCCTTCTCCAGCCTCTCCCGAGGCAGCCCTCTGCCCAGAAGGGGTTAACTCTGGGCTTAACTTCTCGAAAGAACCTGAGGCTTTTATTCCTTGATCTTGCCTGCTCCCTTTCTTTGCAAAGTCTTCCTGATCTTTATACCTCCTGCAAGTCCCTCCTCCTTACTCTCACCTCCTGGACTCCAAAAACAGTCCGATTGCCAGAGCGGGTCAATGGTTAACACTCAGCCGGCTTTATATAAACTTGCCCCGGCCGGCCGCCTACCCGCTGCTGCGTTGCTCCTTCAGTTCCCTGGATCCCGGAGGCAGTGGCTTCAGCAGCCCTCGTGGGTCCACACCATGGCCACCTGCTGGCAGGGCCTGTGGGCCTATCGCTCCTACCTGATTGTGTTCTTGCTGCCCATTTTCCTGCTGCCTCTGCCCATCCTCGTCCCCACTAAGGTAAGGACTTGGGGCTCTGGGCACAGACAAGCTCCAAAAGGGTGGGGGGAGGGCATTCCGGGCCAGAGCTGGGCATCCTTAGGACCAGCATAGCTCACTCACCACCCCCTATCCTGTGAGTTGAGACTATGACCTGAGGCTGAGGGTGATGAGAGCAAAGGGGGCTTTTGCTTGGCACTCAGTGTAGTAGCCCAATGTTAATTGCTCAGGTGCACTTGAAATCTACCGCCTTGGGAGACAGGAAGCCACTTCCACAAAGAGGGTGCAGGTGGCAGCAGATGGGGTTATCTGCCTCCTGGGTGCTCCCCCAGCCCTGGACTGGGCTCAGTGGGGCGGGAGAGAGGGGTAGAAAGGGAGTAGAAGGAAGCTGGCCTCAGGCAGTTTGTGCCATTAAGGGTGTACGTAGAAAGAGAAAGAGCTCACCTGGATCCCAAAGGCTAAGTCAGCTGAGGGAGAGGAGTGGGAACTGGACGGACAGGACCCAACCAGTGGGCCCGTAGACCCCATACCCTGGATGGCGGGAGAGGTGCCGCAGGGTCCTGCTGCCCTCCACCAGGCAGCAGGAGCCATAACTTGGGCTCCCATTTATCAGAGCCCCCACCACATGCCCCGTCCCATGCACCGAGTGACCCTTCCACTCATCTTTCCGTGCCCCCCTCCCCGCCGCCGCCGCCGCCCTCTGGCTTCCCTTCCTCTCATCTTTAACATTTTATTTATTTTTGAGACAGGGAGAGACAGAGCATGAACAGGGGAGGGTCAGAGAGAGAGGGAGACACAGAATCTGAAACAGGCTCCAGGCTCTGAGCTGTCAGCACAGAGCCCGACGCGGGGTTCGAACTCACCGGCCACGAGATCGTGACCTGAGCCCAAGTCGGCTGCTTAACCGACTGAGCCACCCAGGCTCCCCCCCTTCCTCTCATCTTAAGAGGTGGGTCTGACTGTCCCATTTTACAGATGGGAAAAGTGAGGTTAAGTCCCTTACCTGCATCCCAAGGCAGATCCTGGTTTCATGGAGCTTGGAGATTATACACTTTGAGGGCCGCCTTGTAAGGAAAAGTACATACAATTATAAATCTGAAATAATGGGGCTTTGGGAAGGGTCAGTTCAGGAGGGCCTTGAAGCTCAAGCTTCATAGCAGGTCACAGAGTTAGAAAGTGGCAGAGCTGGGGGTGTGGTCTAGCTAACTTCTCTCCACCCTGCTGCTTCCCAAAAGGCTCAGACAGAATCCAGCCTCTGGCCCCACCCCACAATCCCAGCACAGCCCATTGAGCTCTTTTCTTTTGTTACGGATAGGGAAATCGAGGCAGGCTTTTTGTTCATGGTATCCCAAAGGGGTGAAGGACTGGGGATGTAGGGGCCCAGGAGTGGGGCCAGGACACTTGGTAAGTGATAAGGCCTGGCTGACCCTTGAGACAACTCTCATCTCGGGCCAAAGCCGGTGACATCTCTGTGCTGGGGACCCATCAGATGGGTTTTCAGACAGGTTGGGTCAAGTGTGCTAACCGCAGGAGGAAGGACAGACAGGGACCATGATTCCCATTTTGCTCCCCAGGTAAGTACAGCCCAGAAAGACCCAGTAACTTGCCCAACGTCACACAGGGAAGCCTGAGTCAGAACTAGAAGCCAGGCCTCCTGGTGGGAGTGCTGTGTGTCAGAGCTCCCGTCTTCCCTGTGCTGCTCCCAGCCCTGCTGCCCGCCTCGGCCTCACAGACTATGTCCTGACTCAGACGAACTGTTCCTGGTCCTATCTATGGGGCCCAGCCCCTCCACTGGGGCCCTGGATACCAGCTCCTCTCAAGGACTTTGCTCCCATAATTATCCTCTCTCTCTCCTGCCTCATCAATGTCTCCCTCTCTGCCTAAGCTCTGCCATTAGCATACAAACAGGCTACACTATCACCTTAAAAACCAAACCCTCCTTGAATCCTACATCCCCCTCCAAAGGCCTGCTTTCTCTGACTCTCACAGCAGAAGGCCTCAAAGCCTGTCTGCACTGCACCTGTCTTTCCTTAAGACAGCTCCAGTCTCAGGGGCACCTGGGTGGCTCAGTTGGTTAAGCGTCTGACTTCCGGCTCAGGTCATGATCTCACGGCCTGTGAGTTCGAGCCCCGCGTTGGTCCCTGTGCTGACAGCTCAAAGCCTGGAGCCTGCTTCAGATTCTGTGTCTCCCTCTCTCTCTGCCCCTATCCCACTCACATTCTGTCTCTCTCAAAAATAAATAAATACTAAAAAAAAAATTTTTTTTTTAAAGACAGCTCCAGTCTCGGGGGCACCTGGGTGGCTCAGTCAGTTAAGCGTCCAACTTCGACTTAGGGCTTGATCTCACAGTTTGTGAGTTCGAGCCCCACGTCGGGCTCTGTGCTGACAGCTCGGAGCCTGGAGGCTGCTTTGGATTCTGTGTCTCCCTCTCTCTCTGCCCCTAACCCACTTATTCTCTCTCTCTCTTGCTCTCAAAAATAAATAAACATTAAAAAAAAAAAAAAAAAAAAGACAGCTCCAGTCGTCAAGACCCTACCTTCCAGAGGGTTCTCGAGGCCTGGCTTTGTTGACACCTCCTGGCTTTCCTCTCCCTTGGCCACTTTTCCTGTCTCCCTCCCTGTTCTCACTCTCCCCCTAGATGACCTTTTGCTGTTTCACTGTGGAGACAGCTCCCCAAT